TAGAAACCAAAAATAACAGCCAAATGGCGACACGTCGTGTGTCGTGTCTTGCAGTTTTGGGATGCGAATCACTATTTAAAACAACAGCGTGTATATGACGGCATTGTGTGGGAATTTCCCAGATGTTATTACAAATCAAGAAACCCAAACAAAAGTGTGTTGAAGAAATAGAACACCAAATAAAAGATTGATTTTGAAAGAGAAAGCATTCAATGGCAACAAAACCAAGAAAGAGAAACGGAGCAAAGGAGGGCGGAAAGAGATTCCAGACGGACGACAATCCAGCGCCAACAAAGTCATATGCACTTGCTTCAATCATGCACACTGAACACGAAGAAACAACCCACGAGAAGAAGGAGAAGAAGAAAGCAAAGAAGTAATTGTATTGTATCTCTGATTATCTTATGAAGGCATTTAACTATTTAATTAAAATAAACTTATATAATAATAAAACCTTTCAAAACTTGATATATTTATTATAGTAAAAACAATTTAAAATAATTCAAATTATAATAATTCCAATTTTATAATTTTGATTATTATTTTGAATAATAATAATTATATAATTATATTTTTATTTTTACATTAAAATTAAATTTTTTGAAAATTTAAACAAATAAATAAAATGTTCGATGATTTATAATATTAGAAGAACGTAAAGAATCACACTAACTACCAATGTTCCAAACACCCCACTTGTAGTACATTTCTCACATTCTTCTGTCTCACATGGTGTGATGTAATGTTCTTTACACTTCTCACAATGTCCCTCTTCAGTGTAGTATCCAGATGGACATTCTTGAACACATTTATCATCAATTTTATCAAGAACATATTCATCTGCACATTTCACACACTTCTCTTGTTCACACAACACGCATTTTTCATGTTTTAAAATGCACTCATCTACTTCAACTTCACAGAAGTAATTGTTTCCATCAACACTCTTTTTATCTTTTTCACAATTGGTACACATTGGTGTATCTTTTGTGATATCCACAAATTGTGTTTCGTTACATCCCAATTTCATCACCTTCACTCCTCCAAACATTTCAGCTTTGAATTCTTCTTTCACAAATATCTTTATAGTTTGACTGAGTGTTGGGTCACTTGGTATTATTTTTGGAGCTTCCTTTCCGTGGAAGAAAAGATATTTCAGCGAATTCAAAGAATCCAAAAGTGTAGTCAAATGTGAATACAAATTAAGTGCATTTAACATTATGCAATCTTTGAAAGCATCTTTTCCAACAATTTCAACTAACTCAGATCCGCTGACGTTGCTTAATTGGGTGCATTGATTAAAAGTGTTATTTGGAATAATAGTGTTTTGTGTTAGATCTACTTGTTTGAGTGATTGCACTTCTCTAAACACACTCTCTCCAAAATCTGCTACTTTTGGGATTGTGACTTCTGTCAGCATTTTGCTCTGCATAAAAGACATATCACCCAACTTCTCCAGCTTTGGTGAGAAATTCAACTTAGGAAGAGACGTCAATAAAAATGACATCTCACCAAATGAAGTGATTTTGTCGAAGCCAGTTACAGTGGTCAATTTGACACAACCACTAAATAACGATTTGGGTATTTTTGTCAGTCCATTGACATCGACTGTTGCTAAATTGGCACACCCATTAAAAACACCTTCACCAATAGTAGTAAGTGAAAATGGCAGTTTAATGTCTGTGACACCTGTATTGCTGAAAGCAAACTCTCCAATAGACTGAACGTTTTCAGCAAAAGCCAAAGTTGTTAATAGGGTATTAGAAAAAGACTGAGCACCAAAAATGACTATTTTGTCAAAAGAATTTACTTGGGCAAGTTTGGAACACCCAAAGAAAGTCCGTGACGGGATGTTGATATTACCACCAAGATTGACTGAAGTCAACGTTTCAATTTTTTCAAATGCACTACTCCCAAATGTTTTAATTGCAGTTTCTGGGAGTGTCACAGTTACAAGTTTGGTTTCTTGGAATGCAGAGTCGCCAATTTCGACAAGGGAAGGAGAAAATGTTATTGAAGAGAGTGATGTTTCTTGGAATGAAGAGGCACCAAAACTTGTCACTTTATCAGCACCGGTAATTGATTTCATTTTAGTACATCCACTAAAAGTTGAGTCTGGTATGGCTGTTATCTGACTCAATTCAACCATATCAAGAGAAACAACATCCTCAAACACATTTGAACCAAAATCAGTAATTTTGTTTGGAAGTGTCAAAGAACTAAGTGAAGTTCCTTTGAAAGCGTAATTTCCTATTTTAGTCATTGCAGTGTTTAGATGTATTGTAGCTAACCCACTGTCCATAAATGCAAAATCCTCAATTGTTGTAAGATACATCATGCCCATGATAGAATACAGAGAGGTGCATTTTTGGAAACAACCTGTTGGCACAACAACAACAAAAGTTAAATTGAAATCTTTAAGTGAAGTTGCACCTTCAAATGCATAATCACCAAGTGATTCAAACCCCATAGTTGAGGTTACACTTTCCAACGCTGTTGCATCAAAAAATGCTTTTCTCCCAAGTTTCACTTTAGTTGTTGTACTAAATTCCAATTTTGTCATTTTGTCGTTATGGGAGAAACCATCATCACATACCTTATTATAAAGATTGTCTGTTATTTTTACTTCACCAGAACACCGAGTAGACCCATCTCTAATACATTTATTTGTTTCGTCATATTGGAAACAAGTGCCAACAGGTTCTGCACTTGAAGAACTACTCTCATCATCTGCTCTTGAAAAGAAGACAAGGAACACGAAAACCAAGAACATTAATATTATGTGAGTTTTTTAAAATCGTTTATATATCAAAAATTTTTTTGAATGTAATATTTATCATGGAATTATTGTTTAACATAAGAAATTTAAGTTAATAAAAATACACTATGTTTATTTAAAATATGTAAACATAACAATTAACGTAATTGGACAAACAATTTTTAAACTCAAATTATATTGTTTCAAAAACAACCAACATAAAATCAAAAAAAATTGGAAAACAAAACTTTTTAAATTAACTTCTTGAAAAATGTCTAAGAAACTTAAAGTGGTAGTTGATTCTTAAAATATATCGTTTAATAAAATACTTTTCGTATAAACAATTTGACTTTTAGCATATTTTTTACGAATCAAAAACAATTTTATTTGCTAAATGTCATTGCAATAATTCCACGCATTAATAAAGGAAAAATATTAACTTCAATACATTCAATCCCAATGAACAAAATTTTAATAGTCTAAAAATTCGGGATATCTCGAATTTATTAAATATTTTTTCCGTTTCTTAAAAGTTTATAATTTGCATAACAATTCAGAAGCCAAAAAAATAAAAAAACAAGAAAAGACTTTATATATCTTGATAAAAACAAGTCAATTTGAAAACAAAGGTGTTATTTTTGCATTTCTATTCTCCCTCTTTTGTGATAAAAACAACTTCAAATACACTATATTTGCATTATATTACCCAACCACAAAATTGTTGTTATAAGTTAGTTTATAATAAATAAATAAATTAATTAATTATCTGCATAATTAAAATTATAACAATAAATTTGATTTATATTGTTAAAAGCATGATAAATGCAACGAAAATAGCATATGTTGCAGTTCCAGAAATTGATGGTAATTCTGGAGGTATTGGGAGTGTGTACTGTATTGCTATTTCATTCATCACATAATCCAAACTTTGATTGAAACATCCGAATTCACCTTTTCCACAATTTGTTTCAAAAGGAAAGAACACATAGAGGCCTGCTCTTTTCAAATTTTCTTTATTTGCTTCGAACACTCCATCCACATTCATATTTTCTTCTTTTTCAAAAGTTTGACCCATGCTCAGTGTTTTAGTGTACTGCCGATAGACTCTTATTGAGTCTGGAAAAGCCCAAGCTCCCACTCCTGTATTATATTTAGTTAAAACGAGAGATTGTTCGCTTTTCCAATAATTGATATTTCCCGACGTTGCTCCATACACAGACTCCGACCCAAACTCCGTTTGACTTAAAATCACGTTCGTCCCAATGACTTTGTAATTTTGGATTTCATTTGACAGAGAATACCCATCAGAATACTTTGAGAGGCGTACAGCTATCCATGGCGTTTTCTTCTCTGCTCGCTTCATATTTTTATGCATTGATTTTTTTATTATTTCGCCTTTAGGAATTACAAAGCAGAATTCGCACGTTTTATTCTCCCATGTAGTGCACTGATAATATAACTCCACGGTATCAGTACTCTCAAATACTCGATTTAATTTGACAAATGTGGGTGTCCAAAACCCTTTAGAAATTGTGTTTTGAGTGTCATTTTTGAGCTGATAGGAGTATCTTATATTGACTTCAAACCTCCCCAAATCAACATTTTGATAGAACAAGTGGATGTTTTTATTATCAGTAACATTCAGCCAAATTCCTCTTAAAATTTCTTTGTTCAACATAAAATTTTTGGTTTCATTTTCAGCAAAAAGTAATTTCTTGTTGGCGTTATAGTCATTGAAAGAATAATTGCCAACTCTTCGACGACAAACTTCTCTGTTGATTTGTCTGATTTTCTGTGTCACAGTGTCATACGGCACGTCACTCCCATTCACAAGTCCATAATTGGAATTCTCTTGGAAGGTCTCTGCACTGCCGTGAATCGACTGGTCGATAAACATGAAGTAATCGCTTCCCACAACGAACTCCAAATTCATCAATTGTGCTTGGAAAAATTGAATTGAATTTGCTTTTTCATTCTGATTATCCACACGCGTCCCAGCTCCACTTGTACACGGCAACCCCGCGTCTAAAGAGGGGAAGCTCCACTCTGTAATCATCATTGGAATATCTGGAGTGGATGCGGCGATGCTACGAAGGTATTTAACTACGTTTTGAGGAACACCAGATATCGGTGAAACGAATGGATAATTATTAAAAGTGTTAATATCACAATACTTGTTAATGATATCTAAAATGTCTGGATATACTCCTGGAAATCGAGCACACAAATATATATGGTTTTTATCGTATTTTTGAAACGTCGATTTTACAGTTCGAAAATAACGTTCGGCGGTGTCTCTCAAAAATTTCCTCCCAATACTCTTCCCATCCTCACTCCACACTTCTCCAGACTTTTCACTCTCCAAAAAGTCTTGAATCGAGTTGATATTTTTCACTCCAAAAAGCTTCTCAAAACTCTGTTTGTAAGTACTTCCACTTTCATTGACTTCTATCCACTGTTGTATGATTTCTCCAGCATGTATTTTTGCAGTGCTATTTTTACTTAAAATCCACGTGGAATTTAATAAATTCCAGTCTCCCTTAAGATTGCCTTGTTGCTCTCTTTCTCCCCACCACTGCAGTTCATTATCAAAGAAATGGCCGATGATCCAAGGGTCCTCCCTTGTTTCCGAAATGTCCTTTAAAAGCATCCCAAGGTAGTCTTCCCACAGTTCTGAATACACATTAGGAAATCCCGTCCACGAAGTCGATGGGACAATATAATCAACTTGTTTTGCAAAATTAGTCGACTCGTGTCTTGTGGTGTGGACTAGTCCTTTATGTATTAAGCAACTCTGGTAATTCATCGTGACTCCATTAAACCCCCACTCCTTCAATCTTGTTATTTGTGCATCACACCATTCAGTGACACTATTATTATATTTACTTTTCACAACTTCATTGTATGGGCTTTGAGAGAGTACCCAGTCGTACCCGGCTGCAAAGTTAATATGATCTGTGCCAAGTAAAAAGAATGGATATCCGTTGGGGTCATAGAACCAAAATTTCTTGTCCAAACTACTTTTCGCGACTCTAAAAAATCCAGTCGCAGTTTGTTTTTCTGGATATTCACATGCAAAATCAGTTTTGTAGAATGGTGGGGCAAGTCTCGGTTTGTCTGTATAAACATCTGCCGATGCAGTAAGAAGATAGTAATTGGTCTTCATGCCATTTCCTCTTAAAGTTGGAGCTGCGGGGAAGTTCAAGTTTGTTGTGTTATAAGTGTAAGTCATATTAAAGAGTAGTTCATTTGTCTCGGTATATATGAGACCAATCACTGCGGCTTCGTGATATATAAATGTAAGATTGAATTTCTCACCAAATTGCCACGCCCAATTGGGTTTGGTATATCCATAGCCTCTTATAACATATTTGGAAGCTACAGCCCAGTCACCGTCATACCCCAAATTCATTTCGGCAAAGTGTTTATATCCCCTGGACTCGGGAGATATCACCAAATTGAGAGCCCAATAGAATGAAGTGTTTGAGAAGAGCGAAAGTCCACAAACTGAGTAAGCGGTTGATGGCATTAAATTTTGGACGGGTTGAAGAATGGTGCTGATCATACCTCGTCGAATGTATTTGGATATGTGAGGAGTTGAGTATACATTTGAAGTGCTTTTGCCGTTTAATTGATAAACTACTTGGGAAGAAGGTGATATACGTTGAGTCATGTAACCCAAGCCTGTCGTGTTATAATAATCAAATAAAAACTTGTTTGGTTGATATTTTGAAAAGTCGTCATAAAACGTGTAGTCAAGTGCATAGGTACTTAAGCATATCACTGTTAAAATTATTAAAGAAGTGAATCTCATAGAAAATAATAATAATTTTCAATTAAAAGTTTTCGATGTTTAATATAATGATAACTACAAAATTCGTATTTAGAATAATTGTAATAAATGGAAATTAAATTATAATTATAGTCATTTGCTCAACGTTGTTAGGTCTGTAACAGTGTCTGTCGATTTTTAGATTGTTATAAATGGAATATTTCAGGAATTTTTTTGGAAAATCCAAAATCGTTGTTTCAATATTTTTATCGTTTTTTTTATTTTTATCTAATTCGCGTTTTTATAAAACAAAAAAAATATTTTTTGTCAAAAAAGACAAAGTTTATCGACTGACTCGACTTTTATATCATCAGTGTGAAAATTAATTTATTTAAATTACATATGAGTTTTTAAAATCCTTTTCAAAAGTCGAAAAAGTCTGTTATTCAAAAATTATTAACACAATTATTTATATTTATAAGTGATTTTATTAATTTTTTCAAATAAAAAAAAATAATAGAAAGGAATGAAAAGGCTACAATTGAATTGTTTTTTAAACTCTACTTATAACTCGAAACAAAAATACAAGATATAAACAAATTTCTCAATTTCTGTAATAGATTGTTTCTTGTAGAGGATCACTTGCGGAATACTTATACCACATACAACAAAACAATGATTTTAAACATCCACACCAATCTGGACATAATAATGGACACATCACATAACGTGTTATTTTCAAACAACTTACATTTCCACACAACAAAATGCATACTGATAATACAATGATTGGTACAAAAGCAATTAAATAACTCATTCTACTTGAGTAAAATGCAGTTTTATAAATGAACACAAAAGAAGTTGTAAATGCTACTAAAGGAAAGACACCAAACAAACAAACACATCCACTACAAAACATTTCCTTTTCTTGATCTGCAAGAGTCACGTGACCATAACAAAACGTCCTTTTGTGTCCAAACCAGAATAACAATGTTAACGGAAAACATATGAAGTGGAAGATATACCAATAACAAAAATACAAACAAATGAAAATAATTCCACTTGTGTTACTTGGACTGTTTGGTAGAGCCAATTTGAAAAGAAAACACAGCAAGAATATAAAAAG